ACCACACCACAATCCTGCCCCACACTGCCTCACACTGTCTCAACACCACACCACAATCCTGACCCACACTGTCTCAACACCACACCACAACCCTGCCCCACACTGCTGCCGGAGTCTTTGCACTGGCTTCCTGTCAGGATTTGTGTTGATTTTTAAATGTCCTAAAATGCTTCTTCTCCCAGTTAAGGCTCTAGTCGGCCCGTGGCCCCAGTATCTAGAGGGAGCTGTGTGTGCTGGCTCTTTCCTGTGTCCCCCTGTGTCCTGTTCTACAGCGGCCCGCCCAGGTCTGGCTGCCAAGAGCCAGATCTCCAGATCTCCTCCAAGATTCATACTGTAGGTCTCTTTAGACCCCCAGCTCCTGAAGAGCAAGGAAAGGCTTCGACTTGTCTAGTTAAGAAAACAGGGAGTTCAGTTAGGTCATTATGGGCTCAGATAGAAAGAACACCAGAAACCTTCAGGTCATCCAGTGTTTGAGTTCTGCCCCCCTGATCTACACTCGGGGGGTCACAAGCTGCTGTACCCCAGAACCCAGTAATACCACCCCAGAAGAGATCAGGGACTTTGAGGGTATTTAGATCTGGCCTGAAACTACATGCACTTTTGTTAGAAAGGCTTTTTTTGTGAGTTTTACCTTCTGTGTTTGCCTTGATTCTAGAGGCAGGTTTCAGTTCAATTTTCAATTAAAATTGAATTTAAATGACATTTATTTTATTTTGTTATGGTGACATTTTTATTTCCTTACTGCAAAGGGGTTTGAGATGAGTGCTTTTGAAGGCGTTACAATATAATAGTTTGGTGTCAGCAGCTCTTCATTACGCACCAGCAGAGGGCGATCGATTTTAAACATTGTAGCCCTCTACTGTCGCAAAGAGCTGGATTTACGCAAAGCTGCATTACGGTTTTCTCTTTACGACTGTACGCATGGTGGTTGTGCTTGAGATCGCCAAAGCCGCCTTGTGAATTATCCGGTTATCCCTGCTAGAAACCATGCCCAAACTAAGCAAGGAGGCGAAGCAGCGGCTGCAGCAGCTCTTCCAGTGCGGACAGTTCGTTATTCGGTGGGGATTTATCCCTACGGTGCTGTACTTAGGTTAGTATGTGTTTTGAACTGTGCTCTTTGCTGCTCGTTACTCTGCTGGGAACAAGTGTAGTGTTCACACTGTCAGATGTCGACCTACACGGGTTTTGAGATGCAGGCAGTGTTTCTGGTGCATTCTTTTTAAAATCCTGGAGGTGAAACAAAATCAAAGCTTACATAAAATACATAGGTCAGATTTTTTACGTAATCATACGTAACAGCCTGGCTTTCCAAACGCTGTTTAGAGGTGTAGTATGCCCAGTATGTGGTATCTTGCCTTGCACAGCTAACGTTGATCTTTCTATGGAAATAGGTGATCTCAAGCAAAAAGCGATACCGTCTGGAATTGAGAGTTTATACAGAGAAGCCCGCTTGCCATGCCAGTTAACTGTGCGTCTGTCTATCCGGCGATACTGTGTAAAAGTAGTAAACGCTTGAGGAGTGCTTAAGTACTAAATAACGAGGGCTAGCGATTGGGCAGGCCTAGGGAATTCGTATCCCGGCTCCGGTTGTGCGCATGTGTGACGTCCTCTCCATCTCTGAACTGGCTTCATCACTCTGCTCTCCTCCCCACTGAGAGCTGGTGTGTGGGGAGCAGACTGGCGCATCATCCAGGTGGGGCTGCACACTGGTGGTGGTGGAGGGGAGTCCCCATTACCTGTAAAGTGCTTTGAGTTGAGTGTCCAGGAAACAGCTATATAAGTGTAAGCAATTATTATTCTGAGTAGTAGTGTGTATTTGAAGACCCTGTGTGGAGATGGGCATCGCTCTCGCCCCTGGGTGACTTATTTCTTGCAGAGTGGCCTGCTTCGAGGAGTTTCTCTGTAGCATATTTAACCTTAAATATTGCTGCATGGTACCTGACATTAAAACAACCATAAACACTTAGCTTTAAACTGTCAGGGCTGTCCTGGTTCATTCAGCGTCTTCCACAACTGCGCTCTGGACCAGACTTTCCAGACCAAGGCTGCAGTTCAGTGTGTCAGCATTATATTCTGTCCTTCCAAACGTTTCCTCTGTGTCATTTCCGATGTAAATGCTGGGTTTGTTTGACTGTAAGCAGTTTAGGCTGTAAGAGTTAGCACTTCCTGGTCTGATCTGGTCGGATCTCCGAAGCTGGGCGGGGCTGGGCCCGGTCAGTACTGGGATGGGAGACCTCTGTGGACAGCCAGGCTGCTGCTGGAAGTGTGTGTGATAGGGCTGTAGGCGGCACTCTTCTCTGTAAACTACAAAAGGCCCCCGCATGGTGCCTGGGGACACTGTGCTCTCCGTTAGATGAGATACTGACAGGCTGACTTGGTCATCAGTGATCCCTTAGCACTGTTTCTAAGAATAAGGGCATGCCAGTGTCCAGGCTGAGTTCCGCTTTGAGCTTGCACAATCTGGTCGCCCAGGGCGAACTATGATCATACGGAGAAGCATTCTTTCAGTTCTTCACACAGAGCTCACTTCAGTGGGGGATGAAGTGGTCCAAACTGTATGTGAAGTTCTTTGGGATCCTCTATGAATGCAAGCCAATATCACCAATTTAAATTCCTGGATTACATCTGTACCTGCTTCCTCCATAATTTTAAAATGTCGTACACTCTTGCTTTGCCTTAAAACATTTTAAAGGGAAAACATTAAACGAGTTGAATTACAGAGTTAAAATCTGAATGATTTTTAATCAGTGTAGAATACTCCTTATATATGTAGGTAATCAAACTTTTATTTATCTGCAGATATCTAAGTAATTTTAAGTTTAATCGTTTATATTATCAATCCTTAGAGAGCAAATGTGAAAAATACAAGAAACCTGCTCATACTTGTGTGCAATTTCCAGGGAGTAATCATTCCTTTTTTTTTTTACGGGACATTAATAAACTGGTGAATTGTTAGTTTTTAAACCCAATATAAATCCCAGTCTCCCGTTTCCTGAGACCTTTGTAGACAGTTTAATGTACAAACATAAAAATAAAGAAGTTCAATGTGCCAACGTTATATGCTGTCCACAAATCAAATTTTTTCCACTCTGCGTCATTTCAGGTGTAAATGCTGGGTTTGTTTCACTGTAAGCAACTTAGGTTGGAAGTGTCAGCAGCTCCTGGTCTGATCTGGTCGGATGTCGGAGGCTGGGCTGGGCGGGGCGGGGTGGGGCCGGGTCAGAGGGAGACCAGGCTGTAGCTGTAAGTGATGTAGCTGGCTGTTTTCCCTCTGGACCAGCACATCTACTCTAATATCCCAGCGGGTGTCATTTTGCTTAAATTGATCCCTCATGATTTAACATTTCTGCCTCTCAGTGCTGGAGCCCTGGAGCACCAAGCCTGGGTTTCTGTTCTCCCAGTGTTCGCACGGGTTTCCTCTGGAAGCTCCGGTTTCCTCCCACACTCCAGTAACATGCTGGTTGTTTCATTGGCTTCTGGGAGCATTGGCCCTGCTGTGCGTGTGCCTGTCTGTGTCTGTGTGTGCCCTGCGATGGACTGGCGCCCTGCCCAGCGTGTCCATGGGTGGATGGATCCCTCATGAATGACTACAGTGACTTTGAGAACTGCTCCAGCACTGAATTACCTCGTTAGTGTGAGTGTTCATTGGACAAGTGTTCTATCCTGTTGAATGTTAATCCCATAAGGAAAGAAACACGCAGGAGGGAGCCAGAATGAGAAAGCACCTTGGTGAAATCTGTGAAGATGTTAATGCCAGACAGTTCTGGCAATGACAGGCCATGATATGAGACGTCCTCATGACAGTTCGAGGTGTGATGGCCTGGCCAGGATGGTCTAGTCACTACAGGACTCCTCTTGTACTGCTGGCAAACTGACGGCATGGTGCTACACTGATCACGTTTCTGCAGAAACAAATACATCTGTGGTTGGGAAGAATGTTTCTCAATAGCGAAATTGTGTATCAGCAAATTTCCATAGGTTTGTGAGGGAATCCTGTAATTGGCACTTCAGTAAAATGTGCTAAATATATTTCAAATGTGGGTTTCAAGAATGCAGAAGCTCCATTTATGAACGACTGGGCAGAGATCACAGTGCGCATGTGCACAATATGAAGGAGGGCTCCTCTGAAGAAATGCAGACCAGACCTCCCAGTCGCTATCAGACAGATGCTGCATGTGACTATGCCGATGACCCAGCTCTTGCCAGTCATAAAAAAGACCCAGCTGCTGGAGACTCGCTCCAAATCCGAGGAAAACTGCTTCAGCCGGGCAAGCGCCACGCCAACCAAAAACTGGCCGCCGCCGCTTCCTGTGAAGGTTCCTGAAGTGTCTTGGTGGAGCTCTGCACAGGAACAAGGGTGGAACCCCACAGAAGAGACGAAGAGGAAAGTGCATTTGAGTGAAGTGGTCTGCAGACGCCGAGCGCTGATCTCTGCAGCAGCACGCTGCTTCCCGGTTTGGAACCTGCACGTCGGCACACAGATTCTCTGGGAGGCAAGAAAGCGCATCGTTCTGGTTGAGTGAATATCACGTCCTTAAAGCCAAACCTCACGAGCACCAGCGATAGGTGAGGAATCGCCATGATCACCTCAGGACCACCGGAGGACGACGGTGTGAAGCCCCAGTTATCTTGCTACTTATTTTCACTCATTTCCCCAACCTACTTAAATTAACGATACTGATGTTGCCAAAGTAATAGAGATTGTAGGGAAAAAATGGAAAATCAAAGAGTCAATTTCTCAGTGTACCACATCATTACAAATTGCCCGATTACGTATTTCAGTGTAAACTAATGAGTCTTAAATTCCCCTCCCCACTGTAGGAATACAGTACGGTATCGCAAACGTTTCTCCCGATCTCCTGACTGTGTTGTCAATGATGTATCCTGTCTTTACCGGGGAAGGGTCCTGTTGTGACGGTAGTGTGGCTCCCTCAGACCTCCGGACAAGCTTTCTGTGCTTTTCCTGTAAGAACAGGCAGTTTCCTTGAAGCAGGGGCAGATACAGTGGTACACGGCACTGGCAGGGAGTGGAGCTTCAGCTTTTACTTGAACAGAGCTTTGCCATGGCTGAGCCTCTGCGCAGAGCCAGGCGCTGTCAGGTGGGTCTTGTGAATGAAGTGGTGGCAGTGACAGGCCTCTGAAAGATCACAGGGAAGAAAAGGCTCGCCAGCCTTTTCTTTCTGGTGCTTCCTGTTTCCTGACTCGTTACTGTAAGGAACCACAGCTGGAAGTTAAGAGGAGATTGTCCTCGGCTGTAGAGAATTACTTCAGCTTCACTTTATAATTGCTTTATTTCCAAGACTCATTTGACAATGTGCTCTTGGGTCTGTGCTGTGTCTCGGTCAGTGGTGGGTAGAAAATGAAACTTGACGGAAATTGTTTCTGGTTAATCTAAAAATCAATTGTAGGATGAGGATTTGAGTGAACAGTTTCTAACGGCGTGACACTTGTGATGGGACAGAACTCCCAGTTTTCAAAGAGGAGGGAATAATCCCCTCCTCAAACTCACCCACATGCAGTTTCACTTTGTATGTCAGCCTTATGTCCAGAATTTTTCATTGTCTAATTTCTAAGAAGTTATTGCTGCTTTTTTGCATATATGATAAAACTTAAAATTCTTCACAGAGCACTGGGTACTATTTGCTCACGTCATTTTAAGCTTGAGCAAGTTTGTCAAGAGGCGTTTGTCAACGCCCCCAACCACCAGTACTGGGAATTACTGAGCTTCTAATGGTGAAAAAAAGGGTTTCCACATGAATGTGGCAAATAAGATGGTGCTGCTCAGCAGTGGAGTTTCCCTTCACAGGTTCTCTCTTACAGCGCAGCCAGAAGGAGCGGTCATTATTAATTCCATACATTTGAAGAAAGGTACACAACACAACACAGAAGGTTTTAAAACAGCTCTTCTCCAGATGTATGATCAGAATGAAAATGATTACAAGTTACTAGGTTAATACAGATAATTACAGCTGCTCATTACACACACCACTCTTGCTGTTTCTGCATCTGTTAGCAAAAAATTGACGCTTCTGCATTTCACAGATAAAAATAGAGATTTCATTAAGTAATGAGGGTGAATTGTCTCCGTTTCCTAATTGAGTTGCTTACACAAATAAATTTTTGTGAGAGCTCCAAAAACCCAGTGTTGTTCCCTGAGTAAGGATTCCTGGGGTTGTTGAGGGAGAGTACCAGATCAGAGCTCGATTCGATTATTTTTAGGTCCTGAAAGAGTCCCTATTTTGTCATTTTTTCATATTTGTGATCAAAACGTTTATCATGTTTCACTTCTGTTTCAGAAGACCTTAATGCTTAACTGACAGTAACATTTATTTTCTGCAATTAAGTCATGATAATGAGCAACCCAATTAGGACTATTACATATAAATAATTCCAGTCTATTAATAGAAAATACACTAGATATATTCTATCGTTTTGTTGAAATAGATTACATCAACATGGCATCAGTTTTTGTTATATGGCATTTGTTTTCTATGCCTATCTTTTGTATGCGGTATCTGTATGCTGTGTTTATACTGTACAGTATGTGAATTTCTGGACTTGTGTTAGCTTGTCCCAGTTCTGTCGACTGCAGAAGTACTGCTCTACCTTGGTCTGGGTTATGAGCTGCCGGAGCCCAGGAGTCTGGGGTCCCCTCTCCCCTCTCCCCCTCGCATCCACTCCAGGAGTCTGGGGTCCCCTCTCCCACTCACACCCACTCTAGGAGTCTGGGGTCCCTTCTCCCCCTCACACCCACTCTAGGAGTCTGGGGTCCCTTCTCCCCCTTACAAGGGCGGAGCGGTGGCTCTGTGGCTCAGGATCTGCGCCCGTGGCTGGAAGGTTGCCGGTTCAAATTCTGCGGCCGGCAGAGGAATCCAACTCTATTGGGCCCCTGAGCAAGGCCCTTCACCCCAACTGCTCCAGAGACACCGTATAGACGGCTGCCCCTGCGCTCTGACCCCCAGCTTCTCTCCCCGTCTGTCTCTCTCACGGAGAGCAAGCTGGGGTCTGCGAAGAGACAAATTCCTAATGCAAGAAATTGTATATGACCAATAAAGTGATCTTAGCTAATCCCTCACTATATGAGCGATTCCTATGCCCCAAGTGTTCCTTTGTACGAGATGTCATATTTTGTGTCTGTATTTTCATTTACCCAGCAGATTCTCCCTCTCGTGCACTGGGCTGTGGTAAAGCATTGCCGAGATTTTTTTTTTTCTTGCCTCTTCTCCCATGAGGAATTTACTTTTTATCTTTCCTTACCTTTCAGCTTTTTCCCCCATAAGGCTTGTGTGTGTTAAGTGCATATGTTACAGGATTGTATGTAGTTGTTTATGTGTTTGCTATGGACTGTAACAATGTAACAGTGCTGTGAATACACAGGAGTGTTATTACTTCCTACCTGTTGTTTATGCATCAGCTGATGACTTTAAACATGTTTCTTGAATAATGAACCAGGAATGTAATTGTTTTCGTACTAAGATTATTAAGGTGCATTAAGGTGAGGCTTGGGTATTTGAGAGAACCGGTCAGAGATTATACAATGGGAGGCAGTGGGATATTTAGTTTTTGTTATACGTGTCTTCACCTTCCAAACAGTTTTTAAGGAATAAATTAAGCTCTTATAAAGAGGGCCTACTGTATTGAGAAATAAAAGTGCAGTGATAAAGCATGGTTTTAATGCAGTGCAGAGGGATCACCACAGGGAGTGACAGCAATACTGAACATCCTTGTTGTCATTGTCAGCCTTTACTAGAAACAGACCTGTCTCATCTCTCTCTCTGGAGACTAAAGCTGTTTTTATAACAGAAGTATTTAATGTTACGCGTATCATTTTTTAGACAAGCGAGGTCACAGGCTGGAGGAAACCGTTTGGCCCGTTCGGTAGTTATGTAGTTAATTGATCTGAGGATTTCCTAAAAGGAGCCAAGGTATCAGCTTCAGCAACATGGCTGGGGTAGCTTGTTCCCTACTCCCACAACCTTCTGGGTAAAGGCTGCCACTCTGGTGCGGATCGTTCATGAATTACTTGCAGGAGGGGGTGGGTTTGGCGAAGAATGTTGTGAAACTGCTGTTACTCTATTTAAGAAAAGAAGGCGGCAGCGTTGAGATTAGTCAGCTCATCGAGGGCAGCACGTCGCTTGATGAAAGGGGCCGCAGGTGGGCGTGCCAGCAGGGCGCGCCCGAGACGCTCGCTCTGTCCCAGGCACGGTTTCGGCTCGCTGTGCAGATTGTTCCAGCGGGAATTTGACATGACTTCCTCCCCGAGTCCGTTGCTGACCTTGGAAGCTTGAGTTTCAGAAAAGCGCTCCGTGTTGAATATCTGCACTAGTGCAGATAACTGCAACGTTCATTAGAGAGGCGACTTCCCATTTCAAGAGCTGGAAATGAATTTTGGCCTCTGAAGCCCAGAGGGAGATCCAGTCGGAGAGTAGAGATCCAGTCAGAGATGACGAGGCCAGCGATCAGGTGCCGAGACTGAAGCTAGAATTCCCCTAGTGCAGCCTGCAAAGCAAGGAGACCAAGTCTAGGCTTGACATTGGTCAACATGCATAACCTTAACAGCCTGACCCAGCCCAGAGCTGGTCATATATCAGTATAGCTTGAAAGTTCAAACAGCGCCCAGCCAGTTGCTTAGACATTTCTAAACTGACAAGTTTTTATAGCTCTTGCTCCTCTGTGTCAGAGCAGTGTGAGGTTGAGTGTTTGATATCGTTCATTTTGTTTATGGACGCGTTGATAATCACGAATCAATTTTTGCTTTGCCTGCAGGGTTCAAGAGAGGAGCTGACCCCGGGATGCCGGAACCCACTGTTTTAAGGTAGAGTCGGCTTTAATCAATAATAATAACTGCTTACGCTTATATAGCACTTTCCTGGACGCTCCACTCAAAGTGCTTTACAGGTCATGGGGATCCCCTCCACCCCCACCAATGTGCAGCCCCACCTGGATGATGCTCCAGAACGCTCACCACACACCAGCTATCAGTGGGGAGGAGAGCAGAGTGATGAAGCCAATTCAGAGATGGGGATTATTAGGAGGCCATGATTGGTAAGGGCCAATGGGAAATTTGGCCTGGACGCTGGGGTTACACCCCTACTCTTTTCGAGAAACTACAGAGAGTCAGGACCTCGGTTTTACGTCTCATCCGAAGGACAGCGCCTGTTTACAGTATAGTGTCCCCATCACTATACTGGGGCATTAGGACCCACACAGACCACAGTGTGAGCACCCCCTGCTGGCCCCACTAACACCTCTTCCAGCAGCAACCTAAGTTTTTCCCAGGAGGTCTCCTATCCAGGTACTGACCAGGCTCACACCTGCTGAGCTCCAGTGGGGCTGCCAGCTGTGAGCTGCAGGGTGAGAGGGCTGCTGGCATTCTTCTCACGTGAGCTGACCTCTGCATCCTCCCACAGCACGCTTCAGAGCGCAAAGGCGAGCATGTGCTGAATACAGCGGCCTGGCCATTAGGGCAGTTGCAGTGCTCTCAGTACTGTAGAGTGCTGTGTCACAGCTTTAACACTTAACTTCGGCACCCCTGTGGAATGGGTCAGTCTGTTTGTTCTGTGGCTGTGCCAGGAGGAATCCAGAAAGCCAGAGTAATGCAACCTTAGCACAAAGTTCTACCTTAGGCGCTTTGACTCCGAATTCATCTGGTATTGCATTGAAAACATTTCTAATCTTAAAAAAGCAACGTCTACAGAGATGATATTCCCTGTGAGCAACATCACCTTATTGTCTTGCACCAGATAAACTCGAAGAGCAGTCTTGTTTGGTGCAGGTTTCCGGTACAGAAACATTCCCACTATGTTCTGGGGTTCAATGGTTTTTTTTTTTTTTGCCGCACAATCTGTGCCGGTTTGATGGAGGGTGGGGGCAAGAAAAAAACTCATAAAACAGTTTGTTTTTCCATTTCTGAAATGGATTCATTAAATCTGTTTCCTGCTGAGTAAACTGTCTAAACTGTATTTGTATGCTCATTTTAACCATCAGCCCACTGAAAGTGATTCATCTTTCCATGTGAGATGTTGGATGACCTGTAAATACTGTAGTTTTCTGGAATGTAAAACAGACATTTTTACGCTTATAACATACAGTACGGTGCTCACAAGCGTCCTGATCGTAGATGTCACCTCGGAGATCATCGATTTGAATTATTTTCGTGTGCCTTTTCAGTAAAGGAAAGTGAAAATCTGCAAAATATTGCAGAATGTATTTTTGTTAGGGGGGTGCGTTTGTGTTTTATTGTTTGAACATATTCTTCATTTAATTTGCTGGTGTTATCATTTATGTTCTTAATAAAAGTGGAAAAGGAAGTTCTCGTCACTAGATGAATAACCCTTTTGCTGATGTTGCTGTGTGTCAAAGAGGTTGTTCAGATACCAGCATCGCAGTTTGTGCGATTTCAGACAAAGCTAACCCAAGCAGAGGGCGGTGCTCTGCAAGGGGAGCCCGTCTAGTTTCTTACCGACATGCTTTGGGTGAGCATCTCCCAGCATGTGAGAAGATGCAGACAGATGTGATGCAGAGCACATCTTGACGGAGACATAGCCCATAAAGTCATAGCATTGAGTAAGGAGTGAACTGTGTCATTTAATCGCAGCTTCAAGAACGGGTTTGTCAGTCGGAAGTAACACAGGAAGAAGTTTAAAATTCAAGATTAAGATTGTAAGGGCTGCCTGTGCTGCCCGCTCATGTTGTAGCTCCCCATGATGTACAGAGAACACCAGTGCCAAGCTCACACTTGGCATTATTCTTTGGTATCTCTCATTGCTGTTTTCGTCCCGAAAATCAGTCCCATGTGACTTGCACTTACGAATGTTCAACTAGTCTTGCACATGTTCTTGTCGGTACAGGACCTAAATGGTTTCTATACTTTTTTATAACATATGTCATTCAGACAAAAGAAGAAGACAGGTTGTTACATATATTCATTAAGGGAGCTGTAGATCTGCATGCCCTGTCCAGTCCTGTTGTTAAATTCGGCACCCTGGCTTCTCTCAGACTGCAAGTTGGATCAGTTCAGTACTGAAACCTAAACCCTAAATGAGCATGATGGGGTGAATGGCCTTGTTTTCATATCATACATTTTCAGAATTATCCGGGCTTTACAAAGTTTCTTCCATTGTCCCTCCGAAGGGAAGATGAGGGTAATTCTGCAGGGGTGTTGCGTGATGGATCCGTGAAACTGAAAAAACTGTCATTTTTTCACGGTTATGTATGGTCTCCTTTACTGGGAGACCTGCATAGTTACAGATGTAACTTTAACTGCCCCCACAGTTTTAGACATCCCAGGGGGGTCGCTGGTTGGTTTCTGGGCATGTTCCATCCAGGCCGGATGAGCAGTCTTGCTGTCGTTGTGTTCCGAATGCCCCTGACATCTACCCTATTAGGTAAAGCCAGGATGTATTGACTGATGGATATTTTGAGAGATGGCACATTTGGCTCTCCCTGAGGGGAAATGGGATGGGTTTGCTGACGACCTCATCTGATTTCTGAACCCCCATCGTCACAGGAATGGTACAGTACATGCTGCCTTCCTCATACTTTCCTCTGCGAAACACGGGCGACCAATATGGTATCTTCCTGTGCCAGGAAACAGCAACAGCCCGAAGAGCTGGAGGAAACAGCAATAGTATTTAATAAACAGAAGACTTATCAGATGGGTCAACAGCATTGTCTGCTAACAAAGTAAGACCGTTCAGCACCTGGCGTGTTTTAGTGTCAACTGCCAGGTGTGTTTCTGATTAACGACAGATTACTGTTCTTTTAAATTTTCTCCATTCATTGGAAGTTTCATTTCACACCTCTCTGCACCCATTCTGACTTCACACCTCTTGATTGGCCTCTCTTTCTGTCCCCTGCTCCCGCCTCTCACTCCTCCTCCCTCCCAACCTTTGTTCTCCCACTACTTTACCTTTGCCTACTGCCCTGTCTCTCTCACACCTGAAGAAGGCTCCACGGCCGAAACGTTGTGTTCTCTTTCTTCTTTTTTTCAGCATGGAATAAACCTATTATGTGTTTCTGATACAGTCTGTTTGTTTTTATTTACAGCTTGCTCTGGGGATAACAGTCCTATAAACATGAAAACGAGCAGCCTGCAGTCAGAACAACCAGGAGACCTGGTTTCCTGGTATGAACCAGGAGAACAACCGCCAGCTCTTTTTGTAGCGTCTGCGTTATTTTTCGTTAGATCTAACTCTTCTGTTAGATGGCTACATCTTGCCTTGTCAAACAAATTTGTGGTGGAAAAGCAATGTAAGAATAACCGTTTAAGTAGTCAAATAAAAATGCATAAAAAAGGAAAAACAATATAAAATATTGAGTTAACCTTGTTTTTGTTGACCTTGGGATGCTCTTTAGAGATCAAACGGCTCACATCTCCTTGAGCAATGAGGTTGATCATGTGGCCATGAATACGAAATGAGGTAAGGATGGTCCAAGTTCTTTTGAAAAATTCACTAATATCGGTATAGCTTAACTGTGCCACGCTGTTTGTGAAGCATAGAACAAGATTGTGTTTATGAAGCAGTAATCGATTCCATGTAATAACACTCTGAGGTTTGGAGGGTAGCACTCCAGTCCGCTTTCATTGATTTTGCCTACAATAGCCTGGTTTCAGTTTCATTTCTCTGGTAGCAGCTACAGTTCTTACTCAGCGCTGTCCTAATTCTCCCCAGGTCTGTATGCAAGCCAACGTGCCCAAGAAGTATTTTTTTATCTTTTTTCCTTTAGCCTTGGGCCAAATTGTGTGATGATGGTTGTGGTGAAGATTTGAAACCTCTGACACGGTACTGCAGTCTCGAGTAAATGTGCCTTGAGTTGCACCCTTCCCTTTTTTATATTTAAAAACTTTAACCTCCGTTTACTTCAGTGTTGTACAGTTCTAAAAGAACTTTGCTGACTTACATACTCAATGGAAATGTTAGCAGAAATGCTTTTTCCACCTTGTTCAGAGAATGTTCCTGGAAATGTGATGTCCTGTTGCATGTTCATCAGAAGAAGTTAAAACCGTTTGTTTCTGGATTATTGCAGTTGTTCAGAATAATGGTTATTACACCAGACGTTGGCTGTTCTTGCTATGTGCAAGGCAGTTTCTGCTCCTCCCGAATGGAAGGAGAGTGTTTGTTCTTGCTGAGGGAAAGCTTAAACTGCATCTGGAGAGTGCCATGTGTGGAATTTGCACTGAAAAGCCCTTCACGACCGCTGACCTCTGTGTCCTGGTGTTTCTGAAAGGCCCAGGCCCTGCTGTCCCTGGGCTTTCGGCAGCGTGTGCCAGTGAGCCCAGGGCCCTGGAGGACAGAGCCGGGCTTGGCCAGTGGCCAGTGCCGAGAGATTCCGTTCATGCCTCTAGCCTCTAGTCCCCAAAGCAACAGAGACCTCTCATTTGGTTGTGGTAAGATTGATAGCTGGAGACCAGGTTAATCTGCAGCAGGAATTTTTAGACCCAAAAAGCCTTTTTTGTTTCATGCGACTTTTTTGTAGTTGTGTTAGCTTCTGCTTAGAGAGGGCAGATACACAAGAATTTACTGTTACCACAAATCGGAGAAGTTTTTATTTGTTCTAATATGTTTGGCTTGAAGTTCCACCAGCTTCTGTTTTTTGTATGACTATTAACACCTCTTTAGATATATTATAATATATTTTCATGTAAGTGCATTTTAAATACATTTAAAGAATAAGAATTTGGATTTAAATGACCAAGTTAAAGGACTTCTGGTTGGGACGTGGGCTAGAATGACAGTGTAACACAGATCGTCTCCCGACAACAGTCCTGAAAATACTGTTGTTTCTTTACATTGAGTTTCTAAAATAATAATTTTGGCTGAAGGGGCTGTGATGAGAAGGCAGGAGAAAGCTACCAACTGTGGGAGATATTGAAATAGCATCTTCTGAACACAATCAGACACAATAGTCTCCAGAAAATACTGGAGGAACTCGGAGACTTCCGACGGGATAATGATCAGGAGCTCACGGATATGAAACAGGTGTTGCCTGGGGTTAATAAATGAAAAAGCTGAAACAAGGGGGCTAACAGTAGGTACTCTGGGTAAACAGTTTTTAAGATGACAACGGCAGTAGGATGGTTTTTGATGATGTCCCATGTACATTGCATATCATTAACTATATTGAACAATATAACTTAGAATCTGCTCTGATGAGCCTAAATGCTGAGAAGGCCTTTGAGCCAGTTGGAAATGTCTTTATAGGGTCTTGAGTAGGTTTGGCTTCAAACCTTACATGATAGACCAATAGCACAAATGAAAATAAATGGATATTTATCCAACACTATCATGTTTGGACGTGGGACTAGACAGGGCTGACCTCTTTCTCCCCTGCTCTTTGCTCTTTGTGTAGAGCCACTTGCTGGGTGGATACGACAAAACAAGATCAAGGGTATGACTGCAGAAGGAGAGAACGGCAAGACTGCAGAAAATGTCTTGTTATAGCTAGAGGAACCCACAAGCTCAATTCCAGAATGAATGAAGCTTCTGGACAGCTTTGGTTCGTTGGCAGGCTATAAATTAAATGTCCATAGGAGTGAGATATCTAAGAGTCTGTTTTCCAATAGATATGCATTATCAGCAATTAATTATGGACCCTTTATAACTAGAATTAGAGCAGATCTATTGAGGTAGAATCTGATCTCCTTCATGAGTTTTAGTTCTAGAATTGAATCGGTAAAAGTGAAGGTGTTGCCACACTTAATCTTCTTAGTTCAAGCTCTCCCTCTAGAAGTCTCTCCAAAACAATTTTCAGAATGTGGTGATTTCTGGATTTATGTGGCAGGGGAGAAAACCAAGAATAAGACTGATAAACATTGCAACTTTCAAAAGATACCAAGTTTGAGAGAGTACTGTTATGCATCTCAAATTAAATACTTGTTGAATTCCTGTAATCCAGATGATCAAACCAGGTGGAAAGACATTGAATCATCCCTTATGAGCAACCCCCCTAATTCAGGCATTATTGGGTGAGAATATCTTGGAGAAAGTCATTGAATAAATACTAAATCCATGGATAAAACTTCAACTAAAGATATGGAATTCAGTTATAAAAGAATATCACTCAAAGGCTGTAGTAAAGGTACTTGGATATTGTGCCTACAATACGGAGTTTAAACCAAATAGATTGGATCATAAACTTTATAGCAAAAGGAATAACAGCATTTTGTACGATAACAGAAAAAATCAGTTACAAAGCTTTCAGTTTTTAAAAGAGAAACACCATTTGGAGAATCAAGATTTCTGTAGATGCAGTATCTCCAAGTCCGCCACTACTTTCACAGTGCTGTTAAAAAGGAGGAGGATGATGTGGTGGTAAAGGCAGTTATGGAAGCCTACAAATCAAAATAAAAAATAAACATTTATTTTATTTATATTTAGAATATAAATAATTTAAAATAATGAATTAATATTTATTATAGCTACAGTTTCAGACATTTAAACCATGTAAGGTTTTGGTTCGTAATGTAGAACAAATTTACTGCTCACATCAGGTAGCAGATCCCGCATCAAGCAGACGGAGCTCTGGCCCCGCCTGTCTGGCCCCGCAAGTTTCAGAGATCCGAGGATTCTGGAGGGATGTGATGGAGTCGGATCATGGATCCTGCAATCCCCTGTGAACGGCGTCTCTCTGGTTTCCCCTCCTCCACGCTTCCCCTTGTGTCATAAATGATCATGCTCATAGAGTCCCAGTCTCTCGTGGCCGGAGTGCTAGCACTGCTGTCTCCTGCAGTTCAGGAAGCGGACGGCGCGGAAGGCCTGCTGCAGGAACCGGGCGAGCTCCCTGAAGACGATGTGCGCGGCCTTCTGCGTCTCCCATGCCCGGCCTCCCTCGTCGCTCCGCAGGCCCATCCGCAGCTGCAGTCCGCCCAGCTCCTCCACGCCCCTGGAGCTCCTCGTCTGGAAAACAACCGTTCAGAAACTAACCCAACTGGGCGAGCATCGCCACCCCTGCGCCACGGCCACCTGGTTCCCTTTCCAACTGCGCTCCTCTGGTCGCAGGATTACAGCGTGGAAACGGCTGTCTCCTCTAGGTGCCCGTGTTATTCACACACACGGTAATCTGAAGTCCTCCAGGGGCTCACAATTGCCAGTAGACATGATGGCAATGCTGGGGTGAGCCCTCTGCCCTCGGCCTGAGACGATGTATTAACAGCTGCTCGCACGTGGCTGTGGTCCGCTAGTCCTCGGAGAGTCAAGACTTGGGAGCAGTGCTGATGAAGACCAGTCAGATGAGCGAGTCAAGTCATTAAGTCTTGAGGCCCAGAGGCACTGCAGCTCTCCAGGACCAGGGGGGAACAGCGGGATCACACAGATGAGCAGGAAGTGGAGAATTTATTTCTGTTCTGCTCTGTTTCAGAGAGCGGTTTTTCAGGACCTGCCAGCAGGACACTGAAAGGGTGATGTCATCTCACTGTGCAATACCTGAGAGACTTCAGGCCAGCAGTGTCCGGCCCTGGTCCTTAAGCTTCAATAGGATTTTATTCAGAGACCTCACTGGTCTCATATACAGTAACCACTTCTTCAGGTAAGAGTGCATTTAAAAATTCAAAAGCTCCTAGAAAACCAGCAGGTTCACCAAACACCCAGGGCCAGGATGTAAAAGAGCTCACGCCATGAACAGGTGATTCAGCCCATGGGTGCTCACTACACACTAAGTCCTTCTGTGACAGTGTGTTTCTCTACCCTTTTCACTAATGCTTTCAAATTGTGTGAAGATGGACAGTCATGTCGTTTCAGCATCTTCTGCTGTATGTTCTTACTTGTGTAATTCTAACCAGTGTGGTTTCCAGCTTTATTCTTGATTTTTTCGCGGCGCTCTGTGAACCCACTCACCCTCCGCAGGATGTCGTTGGCCAGACACTGTGTGTTCCACTGCAGGTCCTCGGTGCGCTCGGGGTACAGGTGCCTCACCTGCTCCAGGTAGACTCCGTACTCCCGCAGGCCTGTGGAAAGGCTGGCTAAGCACTTCTCCTGCAGAAGAAAACACTGACGTTATCTTAGCAGGTATTGACAGCTACACAGACACATCAAGCGATCTGCAGCGTTTTGTGCAAAGGCTTTGAATCTGAAACTCGAACACACATTTTGTCCGCAGTCTTCTTCTGCTGGAGAGCACAACTCTCATGTCTTCATTTTGTCTTCTGCTCCTCCACATGCAATAAGAGATCACTTTGGTTCACAGCAATATTTTGTCATTTTGTCATTGGTAATTTATGTGACTTGTTAACAAGCCATTAAAATAGTCATTCTTTAGAAATTTATATTGTTTACTTTATTATCATTTTCAAACACGAGATGGTTACATATTTACATTAAAATACATATGTATTTATATGTTTATTACAGACACCTACTATAAATGTATATATACACATTTAGTGTCTTATCAGAATACATTAATGGTTTCATTCATCGACAGGTTGTTGCTTCTTTAAAACCGTTGAAAGCAATTAGTGTATATGCATTGAGCGGATTTTTAAATACATTATTACTCTTACTTTGTTGAATTTAGATGGTAAACATCCATCGATCTGAGAAAGCACGATTTGGTCATCAAAATGTTTCTTGCATGCCGACAAAGTTTCATTCTCAGTCTTGTAATCCTTAAAATTATCGAGACACTGAAAAAAAGAAAAACGGTAAAGACGTGTTAGTTCAGACTCGAAATGCGGCGCGTTTAGTAAAACAGAATGGTACTTACAAAAAGTATTCGGGGCATCTTTCAGAAACTGGCGAGCGAAAAATAGCGCTCCCCCAAGTGTAAAGCTTTTTGCTGTTGCTTCTGCCTAAGAGTCTGGCAAAGCAATTTCTTCGTAGAGTACCATGATCGCGCAGGTGCTTGGGTGAGGACCAGGGCGCACCTGGGGCTCCTACCTGTTGCTTGAGGAGAGCTGTAACCTGCGCCAGCAGCATCTCGGTCCAGCTCTGCCAGTCTGTGAATCCGACGCAGGGCAGACCCTCCGGGACCTCCTCCCCCGAAGTTTCCGTCAGTTCGGCGGGACCCGAAAACGGAGCAGCCCGAACCAGCGAGACTGGCAAGAGCACAGCGAGCAGCCGGAGCGGGGCTGCAAGGGGAGAGAGAGAGAGCACAGCAGCGGGCGTCAGCGCAGGCCGGTCGTACTGCCTGAAGGGACAAAAACGTACAACGTGACGTTTCACTCACATTGCGTAAAGAGCATCTTCGTGAATGCGTACTTCTCACTGTCAAGTCCTGGGATAAACGTCTTGTGTCTTATATACCCATGTATCGGGGAAATTCCGAGTGTGACGTACTGTAGTAAAGCCATTCTCCAAACGTCCCACGTGATGAAATACAGTAAAAGTATATCGTTTGAAAATGCTCTTCTCATTACAAAAGAATATTGGAAATTAATGCTAAACCGAAAATATTAAAATAAATACATTTCACATCTGGTTGCCTGAAGGAGGGGATATTACGTTTTTTTTTCCTAAAGAGGGGTTCGTGGTGTCACCCCCAAGGTCTGTAGCTGGGGTTCTCTGGGTAAAGAATTCACTCAGCCTATGTTTTTCAAGTTGTTTGTTTCTTGTTACTGTAGATGATGTTTTCAGAAACAAGTGGTAATAAGTAACATTGACTTTGGACAAGATACAGTTTGTGTAAAAGTGAGAAAAGGAAAGTATTCCATGAATCCAAAGGAACAGCGATGATGTTCATGCCTCTGCTTCTGGAATTGTGCTGAATGTATTCTGCTTCATTCTGTAAGCAAGGCACCTGACCCAGCTGACACAGTGTTTCCACCAATAATTGTAACCTACCTGCACTTCCTTCTAACAACAAGAGCGTTCTTTTGCATATGAATTCATCCGTAGGGGGTCTAAGGGTATCTAAGAGACTCTCCGGCCGCACTGCCCCATACTGAAGGATGAGCTTTGATTGGGTGAGAGAAGTGTCCCTCACATTCGAGAATCTCACTGCATTGTGAAACAGCACAATCATTTTTTATATAGCTTTTACAGTACATTGAGAAATAAAAGTCCCTGTCTTGGATTTTCTTTCTGTTAATTGAGTCTTGGCTAAAATATTTCTGTGACATATTATCCTTTTCCAAAATTTCACAATAGCTTTTCAGTTTGTACATCGGAGGCTGCTTTCTCTGTCACGGCTCCGTCTTTATGGAATATCCTTCCTTCGGCCCATCAAGAGGCAGATTCTCTGTTTTTAAATCAGACCCTCAGACTCACCATTTCATTAAGACCCACGCTTTGATGGTTTTATATCCTGTTGTTATATAGACTCTTGTATCCAAACATACTGCTGTCACTGAATTTTCAACTTTACAGGTTGTCCTTTAACTCTGAATTTGCGCAGCGGTTATGTAGTGTTGTCCTGTCCTTTTGGATACTTCAGGATGGCTTTGACTGGATTTGTGTGAAAGAAGTACAGTATATTGGCAGACCCTGCAGTCCGAACAGATTCAAGGCCTTATCTGGCCTGCGGACGGGGTTTAGAGTGGCTTTGCCGATGGAGGCAGATGCTGTTGTTTGGTGTGTCTGTGCAGCTGCACTTCAGCTGGACTCGTATCTGTGCAACTGCCAGGGTCATATTGGAACGGGCACAACTGCTGAAGGCTAAACTGCTTCCGAAGCCAGTTGCCCTGGACAGATACCAAAAAGACTGGCAAGCAGGAAGCTGTGTCAAAAGCAGGTTTTGGAAACGCCGGCCGAAGGGTGTTAGGATGATTTGATTTGATTTAACGCAGGCCGACTTCAACTGACGCCTCTGAAATCCGCTGAGCCAGCACTTTCTGTGGTGCTCTCCAGAAGCACAAGGCTTTCATCATATTCGCTATCAAAATGACTGAAGAGGGAAAAACGATGAATGTACTGCGTTTTTTTTACAGTCGCTGAGCAGGATCGTTGCTAAATAAGGGTTTCATCTACGTCAATGGAAAACGGCTGAACTTCTCAAACTGGCATCCCACAGAACAAGGGGCAGTTATAGATGATGGAACATTGAGAAACAAAACATACTTTTCTGGAGGATATTCCCAAAAAGACTGTAATAAAAACTGTGAGTGGATCATTGCCTGGAACTCTGATCATGGTGTTACAAGAATAAAATAATATTAAGAATGGAAAAATGACAAAAAGAAAATCTAAGCCTCTTACAAATATTCAACATCCACTTGAAAATAAATGATAACAGTTCGTATTATTGTTGGCTTCGTACATCAGTGACTCTCGTAAAGCCATTATGCAGTGTAATGGAATATCCAATTACAAGGGTGAAGGTGGCCTTCTGAGCTACGTGAGACTGGCCTGACCTGGAAACTTCCAGAACAAACCAGCTGAGAACCAGCTATGGATCCTTTTAAAGGAGAAGCCTTTAAGCAGACAGGGATTGGTCAGGTGGTAAATGAGTTGACATAATTGCAAAGAATGGGATAAAGCAGGAGGATCATGTGTCAATAGGCGCCCTGTGCATCATTGGGAATGGGCTGAGTAATCATCTAGATTCTAGAGGTTGTTTTACGCAGGTAGTCTGAGAGGAACATTTGAATACAACACCGACATCAAATACATGTGACGTAATAGAGCAGAATTAATAAAGAATAGTTCATCCAGAGACAAAACTCCTGTGATATTGTTGGATGTATTATATTGGATTCAATTGTACTGTGATCACGTCTGTGTTACAGCAGTATGTCAGTCACAGGTGATACCTAGACATCAAGGTAGTGAAAGGTGTCCGGTCTCCAGTCTGCCCACAAGCAGCTCTGCGGTGCCCCTGTGAGGCCCCGGGCAGGTGCAGGCTGGCTCTGTGCCGTGGCCCCCAGAACATCTGTAGCAGCCCGTGGCCCCCGGCCCCACCTCCCCTTCTGCCCGACCCCATGTGCTGCTGATTCCCGCGAGGCTCCGGGGTGCTGCCCGCCTGCTGGCGCCGCTGTCCCAGCCAGAGCTGGTGGGCGAGATTCAAGGCAGGAATGTCAGGGACACTGTCCTGTCGCATTTCCAGTGTGTGACTTTCTGAATTCTATACTAAGAGGCATTAAAAAAGCAAAACATGAGAACCGGAACTGGTAACGCTTGTCCTGTGTCGGGATTTTGTCTAAATTGTCCTGGCTTTTCCTTGCGTCTTTTATTATATATATATACACTGTATAACTAGACCAGAACCTTGATCGTTGATATTGTAGAGAGTTCAGGTTCTTGGGGTTTCATCCCCCACATCAGGATCGAACCCAGGCCTCCAGCGTCGCTCAACAGAGGTCTTGCCAGCTGAGCTAAAGAAGGCCTTCGTCAGCCCGGGCAGCCAACCACCCTGTTATGTGCAGGGGAGTAGAGGGGGGTGTTGCCACCGCGCTGCAGCCGGCTCGTACCACCTGCATGTCAGCTGTTCGTTACAATGTACATTAAGGACAGCAGTGGTCCTAGTGCAGACCTCTGCAGTACTCCTCACCCCTATTAGAACTTAGAACATACACCTGTTATCTCTACTGTCAGTTTTTGATCCTTTGACCAGCTCCTAATCCAAATACATGAATTTAATTTAAAACACGATCTTACTACTTGCAATTTAAGAATTAATCTTTTATGAGGTCATTTAATTAAAATAAAAAAATAATATAGTAAATTGATCTTCGATTTAATCAAAAGCTTTCTGAAAATGTAAATATTCCATGTAATGTGCCCCGTGTATTGATTGCTCAATTAACTCTTACAAGTTATTCCTGACCTTTCGATCCGATCCTTTTCGAATCCACAGAATCGTATTTCCACTAAGAAGATCCTCTGTATTAGTTCTGATTATAACTTCCGTAACCTTGCATGTCTGTAATCGTTTCAGCTTCATCGGGGCTGTTTGGGTGGTACTGTGATATTGCCCTTGTCCTGAGGGACTGTTGGAAGAATCCTGTTTCTCTAAGTAATCTTGGTAGAATACCATCAGACCCTGGAGGTTTATCTTATATACCTACAGTATATTACTTCTGCCACCTCTGTTAAAATAGTTACCGAACTATTTTACTAAATTTGGATACTAAAATTGCCCAACCCTTTCTTACCTGGGAGGTCTTTTTAATTAGGGGTGTCCTCCGAATTCACGATCTAGTCAGAACCAAGAGTCCATTCGGACAGCTCGGCTCTTCGTCTGCTTTCTCCCTGCATCACTCTGCCCTGTCTCTCCAAGCCCCTGCATGCCTGGCCGAGACTTCCTCAGCGCCACGACACTGCTCAGCACGTGCTGGTTGTTCAAGGTAAATTAAAAAGTGATTAAAAAATTGAGTTTACAACACAAAATGTAAAAATTCCCCTGAACTATTTTGCAGTAAAAATGAAACTGTTATATGTACGCTTCAGGCATAATGGACCGTCTACTCAGTTACCCTGTGTGAAAATGTGTGAAAATGAGTAAGTGCTGTGAGCTCATACAGTAGCATGATGCTGCAAAGAGGATTGAAAGAGCGAATGTTGCCAAAAGGGGCAAAGTCAAGTATTGGTCGTTCCAAGTTGTTTTTAATTGAGTTATTGCGAATTTTATCTTATTCCCTTGTGATGAGATCTTAGCAGTTTATCCATAGTTCAGATAACTCATTCGCAGTAATAACGATAAGAGGCGGAGAAATACAATGTTTTAATATAGATATGCAGACATTGCACTTCTTTATCTGTTCATCACTTGTTTCAGATGTATAAGTATTAATAGTGCTTTCTTTGAAAACTGTCTCAGAACTTCAAAGCACGAAACGCATTTGACACACTGATGCACAAACGAAACACAGCACACAGGCTGAATGGATTTAATTATTGTAAGTGGAGCTTTGCAGGTAGGACAATGTAAGAATCCCCATTTCTAGGTCTCAGCATGGCCAGCTTTTCCCCTTACCTAATCCGAAGGAGCATCAGTGGTACGTGCTCAGCAGTGCCAATAACATGCTGCAGCTGCACAGGGAGAGTGGTGAGAGTGGGGGAGCAGCCCACAGCAGTCTGTCCGGAGGCAGATCGGGTCTGTGCTTCAGCACTGCCAGGGTTGTGTTTCTGCTCATACCTTTTGCTAACTTTGCAATGTCTATATTTTGACAACATGTCACCATTCTGTTAGACCCTGTTTCACAGCAGAAACCTGGTTTTCTTTAGAGTCTCATCCCAGTACTGTCTAAAAAACCCAGCCTCACTTGTCTTCTGAAATGTGGAGAGATCAGACTGCAAGGTTTTAGTGCTGCTGTGAGATTTTGGATTGTCTAGCACAGGGGTGGGGAATGGCCGTATACGGCCCGCGAAATCATTTGGTCTGGCTGTGCCAAGGCAACCGCAGGCGTAGAGCCTGGCGATCATTCGATA